TAGAACTAAGGAAATGCCAACCGACAAAAAGCCTCAAATTAGAGGCAGTTAGGGCAAGTCTGGAAGCGCTTGAGGCGAACATGAGGTCAGAACTCCGGCAACTCTAATCAGAGATTAATGCCAGGACAGCCAGTTTGTCCGCGATCAGGAAGGAGGTGACCAGCATGGCCTCCCAGATACAAAATCTGGGCCACGAAACGAGCATCGCAATGGGCAGGCAGAGAAATGTTGTCATCAAAGGAATGGAAGAGCCGCTCTTTAACAGTGTCAGACTGAGAGAAAGGGATCTGAGACTCTGTGTCTCCTCCCTACTTAGACAGGTGGGAATCCCGGCCCACGCACTGATCAAAAGGATTTTCAGGCTTGGGAAATGGTTTAACGCACAGGTAAGCATAGCGTTTCTCAAGGCCAGTTCTCATAGAATTTGGCAACCAGAGATTCCGGGATGCATTCCTGGTGGCGGCGGGCAGATTAAAGAGCTTGACAAATGAGAAGGTAGACGTCGAACCAGATAACGCATCCATGTATGCAGGCTTTCGCCGACAGGCATCACCAACTAACATGACATACTGTGATTCCCGGGGTAATTCACCGCTTCTAGAGCTCAGTAGATTGCAGCATCAGTCACCGGCAAGCAATGCTCAACGTACCACATCCACTCCCAGGTCCAGCTCAACTACACCAACACTATCACCCACAGGACTCAGACTTAACGATGAAGGCCCAGGGCCCACGCTAGTAGGAAGGACGGCAATGGTCACAGCTAATCGTAAGGACAGGCCGGACGATGTTGTGCCTACTCAGTTGGAGACTGGTAAGTAACTGTAGGCTACGATAGCTCAAAGGGCCAGTGTTGACGGCATTCCCTCTGCGGTGCTTCAGCGACTGAGGGCCAAGAGTATGCCGGCGACAAAAAAACGAAGAGGGCTCTCGGACAGTTTGCCCGAGTGCGCATTAGACTCTATTAACACCAAGGCTAGAAGGGGGCTTTGGTTGGGGGGTTATCGGAATTCTACACGAACGCCTGCAGCCTAGGCAATAAGTGGAGAGAATTAAGGGCTGTAACCGTAGGATCAGACTGTACTGTGATAACCGAGACATGGTTGCACGAGGCCATCACAACGGAGAGCCTACAACTCACCGGGTACTACGCGTACAGGTCGGACAGGGAAGATGGTAGGGGTGGAGGTGACATATTGCTCCTTGTTTCGAACACCCTAGATCAGGCCGAGGGCGATCACATGCCAAAACCGAACATCCAGGCGCGCTCATGCACCATACAATCCCCGAACTGCATAATGACGGTAGCAGGTGCCTACAGAGCACCACTCTCAGATGAGGAGGAGGATGACCAACTGTGCGACTATCTGACTAGGGTAAGCAACCATGCAGAGCGGTTGGTCATCATGGGAGACTTCAACTCTCCGGAGGTAGACTGGGAAAGCCTGTGGGCCCCTCGCTCTGGTTTTGGTAGAAAAATAGTGGACTTGATGACAGTGCTACCTCTAGTGCAGCACGTCAATCAACCCGATAGATGGCGGGAGGGGCAAAGGCTTAGCATGTTGGATCTAGTCCTGTTCAAGATGCCGCAGGATGTGGCACAGCTCGAGGTTTCTGCTCCTCTAGGGCGAAGTGACCATGGAGTATTTAGGTTCCACATCAGGGGAAACCATCCCCTGGTCCCACACAAGCTCAGGAGGGACTATAGGCAGCTGGATGTGCCGGCGCTCAGGCAAGCAACAGAGGCAATCCAGTGGACATCAGATGGCCTCCACACCGTGGAGCAGGGGTGGCAGTTATTCAAAGACAGCATCACCCGGCTCATGGACGCTTTCGCTCCCCTAAGAAGGGTCAGAAGAGGAGGCCGGCCGCCCTGGTGGGCAAAAAAAGGTATTCAGGGCACAAGCCATAAAGCGGACGGCATGGAACTGTCATAGGAACAGGGGTGGCCATCGTCAGCACCTGCGTTATCGCGCGGCAAGAGAAAGGGCACTCAGGACTCAGAGACACTGCAAAAAGGATTACGAGAGTAGGATTGCTCGCAATGCCAAAAAGCGACCAAAATCTCAGTACAACTATGTGCAGTCTAAGGCTCACTCCAGGGTTGCGATTGGTATTGTAGTAAATGCAGACGGTGTCAGTGCAGCGTCCAGCAAGGGGAAGGCTGAAGTTCTAAAGAGCTTCTTCAAGAAGTTCCACTTAACCGACCGGGGAAGGCCGATACCTGACCTTCTGCGTGGACTCCCCGAACAGTGCATGGCCCCGTTTGTATTAGAGGCAAAAGAGGTAGAAGCAGCACTGAAACAACTAGATCAGAACAAAGCCGCGGGCCCGGATGGGCTGCATCCAGCAATACTGCGGCCCATTGCTGACATTATTGCAGATGCGCTTACTCAGCTTTACCACCGATCCCTTGCCTCTGCAACGCTGCCGGCCGACTGGACCACGGCAGAAGTGATGCCAATCCACAAGGGAGGATCAAGGGCAGCTGCATCGAATTATCGTCCAGTAACCCTTCTTTCGGTTGTCCTGAAAACCTTCGAGCGGCTCCTCAGGGAGAAGTTGGTGGGTTACATAGACGACCAACACCACATAGTGGGCCAACAACATGGCTTTGTCAACAGAAAGTTGTGTCTCACCAACCTCCTATCATTTCTGGACGAGGTAACAGACAGGTTGGACGCAGAGNGAGTCGAAGTGTGCTACCTTGATTTCAGGAAGGCCTTCGACTCGGTCAACCACAGATTCCTCCTGCGCAAACTGGAAGCCCTATGCGTAGACCAGCAGTTAGTGAAGTGGATCAAAGCTTACCTGCACGAAAGGACGTTCTGTGTGAGGGTCGAACAGGAAACCTCGGGGACGGCAGCATTCTGTAGTGATGTACCTCAAGGTTCAGTCTTTGGTCCTATACTATTTGTGCTTTATGTAAATGACATCACTGAGGTCTTCCGGTGCCCTGGGTTCCTATTCGCAGATGACCTAAAAGTAGCAGAGAGTGTACGTCAACCAATTCGCACTTGAGTGACTCGTAGCCGAACCGATACGAATCCCGAAGTAAAAACACAATTGATCCGCAATGTTCTACGGTACTGAATTAACGAGATTATTACAATGTGTACAATAAAGCAAACCTCAAATATGCGGCCAAAAGCACTCAAACAAGCGAGCCAAATAAGATGTCCAGAGAGAGGCAAACAGTCGCTCCCGTTCTCAAACCACGCAAACTTCAAATGTGCCGGGCATAGAGTTAACAGATAAATAATGATGTGTGGTGTTCATGATCGTGAAATGTCAGTATAAGAGCAACACACAGATAGAGTTATTGCACCATAAATCATTATGGGTTCGGAAGGATTTTCAAAAAATTCAGTATGAAATACAGAGAGTCCCTCATCAGGGGACTTACAGGATGCACTCAACGCAATTGATGACTGGGTGGCTTCGTGGGAACTACCTCTCAACGCCAGCAAATACAGGCACCTGCTGCTAAACAGAGGGACCTCGCAGGTGCGACAGTCAGGCGCTGGGTCGATGAACACCATAGAACCTGCAGATGTAGTCAAGGATCTAGGGGTGCAGATACACTCCTCCTTTAAGCCCTCAATGCGATGGGCGGCAGCCGCAGCGAAGGCCAGTAGAGACTTATTTCAACTCTGCAGAACGGTAATATCGACGGAGGATTCGGTAATCTTTCCATTATATAAGGCGTTTGTACGGCCACATCTGGAGTACTGTGTCCAGGCGTGGGCCCCTCCCCTAGTAAGAGATAAACAACTACTTGAGGCAGTACAAAGAAGGTTCACCCGGAAGATCAGTGGACTGCAGGGAAATTCCTACAAAGAAAGGCTGGGGGCCCTTAACTTATTCTCATTTCATCGCCGTCGCCTGAGGGGGGAATTGATTGAGACGCTCAAACAGCTCAAAGGACTTTCCATAGCAGATAGATCCTTGTTTACACGGAATCCCAACCCAACCATCAGAGGGCATGCTCTGAATCTGATGAAACCACGGGTCAACGGAAGTGCCAGGGCACAGTTTTTTTCCCATCGCGTGGTAAACGCATGGTAGAAACTTCCACCTATAGTAGTAGTAGTATCTAGTGCTCTACAACTCAAGCGGAGACTAGACAACTGCTGGGACGAGGTCTTTTCAGAGTGTGACTAGTACAGGTCTCAATCACTACCCACATCCTCCTTTTGTAGCGGCTGCCTATTTCTAACATCACTCCTTTGCAACACGCACCTCACGCACAATTAACACAAAAATTGTTTTTTTCTGTCATCAGCCCCCGGGAAGCTCTCACGGCAGGAGTAGCAGTCCACTGAGGTGCGGCGACTGTCAAATGATGGAGACTGCTGTTACCCCGAGGGCGATCCTGCTCTTCATCTCTTCCCTTGTAGGTGGAACAGCCGTCACAACTGTGGAACTACCTGGCGATCGCAGCACAGTGGGAATCACCAGCTCACGAGTGCAAGAACCGGGACGTCCACTGGCCGAAGCCTAAAGTCTTGTGACCCAACTTGACTTTGGTGACCTTGGGTGAGTTGGCACCAAGTTGAAATTCGTAACGTGCTCCCCTTAAAAAGTTATTAGACATATTCATTGGGATATATCACTCGTTTTTGTGCACCTTTACGCACTTGCTCCTCCTCATTCCATAAAAGGGAACTAAGATACCTAAGTTTCTCGCATTAACACAACTAGAAAGTGTTTCATCTCCTTACCCAATGCCGTCTACTTTGTAGCTGACGTAGCTCTGAAGAGTCGGATGAGAGTACTCTCCCCATGCGGTATAGTCCTTCAAAAATAGACGTTGACACCCTTAGCATGTGTCTTAACGAAACCATTATAGAGAACATCCTATCCGTACAACAACGAGCGGCAAAATCACACGCGGAGCAGATAGCAGAAATGAAGGCCCACATTTCACGGCTCGAACAACAGCTCTCTGAGCTTAGGTTGCTCATTCGGAATGAGCTCCAAACGACCAAGGCCGCCTCACAAGCGATTAAGATATCCAAACAAGATATCTTAGATACAGCCAAAAAGCTGGCAATCGAAGAGGCTTGCGCAAGGAGGGTAATAATATGGGACCGTTTTTCTAAGGACCAGATTCCTACCCAGAAGGCAAAATCCCTCCTTGGAAACCTCACCTCCTCGAAAATACCTAACCCCACATGGCTAGTCTCAAAGCATAAGAAACGGGCGCTGGGACTAGTTGTCGGGTTTAACCACTCATCAGTGGTTACGGACTGTATTGCACAAATACAGAAAATCCAGTCCAATGACAAACTGGTGAGGAGAGTGGCACCAGAAAGCCCATCCACACAAGGCTGCCACCATCTTCCCCCAAAGGGATGGCAAAGAGACAGTGAACTTTTAAAGAAGGCTGTGGCCAACCTCACGCGCCTCCCTATCCCCGTCGACCATCTGCCCTCCCACAGACCCATCTTCGAAATATTCTCTGTCCCTCTAGACTGCAGCTCCCCGAATACAAGCTTCTGCAGTGGGAGGGATGATGAGCTTACTCTCACTGCTGACCGGAACTTCCTCGAACCGACTTCTAGGCCGAATAATGAGCAAACAAAAGCAGTTTGCGTAAACAGTAAACGAACTCACCAAAAGTTTGCAAGCAGGAAGTGCACTAAACAGATGAACGTGCAAACTGCGAAAAGGAGAATCCTAGGGAGTCCACCATCACTTCCCTTTCATCAAGATACTCGTTCTCTACGGGTAAATCCCCTAAACAACGACCCAAATTCCCCACTCTTCCTAGGGGGCCTGTCATCCCTCTACAAAAACCCGAGCCACTGACCTCAACAATCACCGCACTGATGTCCCTAAAACTTACAAATCACTGAAAAGCCGCCGCTTCTCCTTTTCCCAAAACAGGCAAGGTGTCCGGACCC